GCCACCCCATTGGCCACGCCGACACCACACGGAGACTGAAACCCGGCCACCCCATTGGCCACCCCGACACCACACGGAGACTGAAACCCGGCCACTCCATTGGCCACGCCGACACCACACGGAGACTGAAACCTGGCCATCCCATTGGCCACCCCGTTGTTTTTGCATTTTGGCTAAATCAGACTTTGATTTAAAAAAAAAAAACCCTTTATTCCAGAACTGTTTCTCTGTGTCCCTGATGATATACTGATATAGAATGAGCTCATAGTGCTGCTGAGCTAAATATGTGCCCTCAGAATAGGAGTAATGCAGAAGTTTGGGAATCTTTAATTCAGTGTGTAAGCTTGTTAACTTAACGGCGAGAAACCGATGTATTAAATGTGTATTTGATAATTCCACCACTGTCTCAATTATAAACAATGTAGAATCACACGTACGTTTTTACAGCGTTTAGGTACCTAAAATATTCCCTTTTTTTCCAGGTGCCGTATATCCCTGTTTTGATGTATATGCCTCCCCAAATTGACCCCAGGTCCCACCCTGCCCCCCCACTGAAAATTATCTGGCTCCGCTACTGCATGAGACTGTAGGGTGGCATTTTATTTCCATCCAGCTACATGTATATAGGGACATATAAAATATAAATTAAATTAAATATTGATTTACAAAATTGTACTTTACTACATGCCATGATATTTTTATGGATTTCCATGTAGCAGCAAAACACAGTGCTAAAAGTGGACGCTTGGATTCGGGATGTCGGCATAGACGTGAAACGCACGCCTCACGTGCAGCAACGCCGGCTCTTTGTGTTCTCGCCGAGTACAGGCGTATTTCCTTATTAATTGGGAGCCTTTCTGTTCTCCTTGCTTTGCGAATGTGTTTGACTAAATGCCGTGGCTTTGGGTCAGTGACGTGTCGATGCTCTGAATGTGACAGATCCACTCATCCATTATGTATATCCATTCATTCATCTCAAGGTTATGGAGAGCTTGGAGTCTATCTCAGCAAGCAGAGGCGGAATGCAGGGGGCACCGCAGACGGCACACCAGCCTGAGCCCCCTCCCTTGCTCGGAGATAAGTCATCCTTTATATACTCGCAATATTCACTCCCTAAAATAGATTCCATAGCATCCTTGCTTACTCTCCACATTTGAAGCATGTTAGTGAAGCAGTAAGTATTTTATTTACTAGACATATTTGTCCAAGGTGTACTTAATAATAATAATAAATTAAATTAAAGAATGCTGGGTCAGGCGGTCCCTGGAGTAATTGAGAGCTAAGGGTTTTGCTCAACAGCCCAACATTGGAGTGACCTTGCCGACTCCGGGACTTGAAATAATAACCTTGTGATTACAGGTATAGCAGCCCGATCCACTGAGCCTAATGAGGCGGCCGCAGCGAAAGCGATTCGGAGCCGGGCAACCTATGAGTAACAGAAGCTTGTTTGGTCAGCTCTGCCTGTTACGGTGCTCCTTCCCCAAAGATCAACCTGCTTCTCGATGCTTGTATCCAAAACAATGTGCATTGTTTTTGAGATAGCGGGATCAGCCAGTCCCTGGAACAATCTGTGGTTAAACGCCTTGCTAAAGAGTCCAGTAGTGACATCATTCTCTCAATGCTAGGATTTGAACCAGTGACCTTCTGATCACAAGTATAATGCCCTAACTCATGGAGTGGCTGTTTCCATTGTATGTATTGAGGACCCATTTTGACAATGTGCTCAATGTGAAGGTGGAGTGGGATGGTTATCGTCATACATGTAAGGAGCAGTGAGTCAAGTCTTTGCAGTAGCAAAGACCGTGACTCTTGGAACTTTGCATCTCTGGGTTCTGCGTTTTATGCCCTAAAATGGATAGTATCCAGAAACCCTGTGTAGCGCCAGCGGAAGTCCATGTGGCACCCCAGGCCAGCTTCACCGCCAGCGCCCCCTGTCTGAGACAAAGTGAAATCGGCTGGCTAAGTCAGCGCCCCCTCAGAAGATGCTGCCCTAGGCCAGCTTCACCGCCAGCGCCCCCTGTCTGAGACAAAGTGAAATCGGCTGGCTAAGTCAGCGCCCCCTTAGAAGATGGTGCCCTAGGCCAGCTTCACCGCCAGCGCCCCCTGCCTCCTACAGAGTGAAATCGCCTGGCTAAGTCAGCGCCCCCTCAGAAGATGCTGCCCTAGGTCGGCCGCCTATGTCTCCTAATAGGTTGACCGGCACTGAAGGGAGGTGAGATTTACACTGAAGCAGCCTGAGTTCCACCTAAACTGAGGAACTTGAAGAACTCATGGGTCTTTGAAGGTTCTGGGGCTCAGCTTGGCCTCTGATAGGGCTTAAAATTTTTTATTCCGTTGTTCTCATTTATTTATATATTGATACATCCCTTCTGGAGCTTTATAGCCGATATCGGCCCGTTCCACTGCTTTGCCGCAACACCTGCAGGTCATTTGGGCTTTTGCTGCATTCGGGCAGCACAGCGAAGCCACTGCTCTGGCTTTTTCCCATCACAGTTTTCACAATTTCACAGTTCACATGCCAAAAAAACAAGAATGCAGGTGTATGTTGGTCTGTAGGACCCAGAGGAAACCATCTGGCATATCAGTGCAATTCACTTTTAATCAGTATAATAAAATGGACACCTAGTATCTAGATAACAAGGTCACATTAAATAATATGGTGCTTCACGCCTCCATTTTGGCTCTCCAGCGAATTGTAAGACTTCAGTCTGGTCCATTGAGCTATTTTATGGTACCCTAACTGTATTCCATGTGTGTGACCTGCCGTCTTCTTCTGAACTGCTATAGCACGTATGTGTCATGCGTGTTCAGCAAAACATCTGCATATCCAGACAGCCAGACGTCTTTCACAGGCTTCCCGACACACAAGCCTGCATCTGCAGAATCACATCCATTTGCCTGCTGCTGGACGTGCGTGGATTTTAAACAGACAGCTTCCATTTTTTGTTAATTGGCGGATTCTAGGGCCAGGCTTCTGTCGTGAAATTCCGTGTCACGGCGAGTGGGTGAAGCAGTAATGCAGATCTGGGAATGTGCTGCCTGTAACCCTGGCAGATCTATGAAGGAGGATGAGTGAGGTTCAGCACGGTAAGAAGCGACGGCGCTGTAAAAGGAGAGCGAGGCCTTGTGGGAACTAACTGACACTTCGGGACCCAGGCTGTGAAACTAGCCTGCTACATAAACTGGGAGAATCAGACTCAGATGATGAGAACAAAATGCAAGATTTGTTTTCAGTTTTTTTTTTTTTTTAAGAAATCTGGTCATTGAGAGTCTGAGTGGGGGAACTCCACTAGAGGGCGCTATAGTGTTGGGACATGGTTATGCCTACAGAACTATCCTTAAAGATTACTCAAAACGATGTATCCTTAACTGATATAGACTCCACACTCAGTATTAATAGGTAAGCTAAAAGTTAAATGAAAATGTAATTTTTTTTTTTTATTTACTCTTAGAAACCTTTCAGGTTTGGAATGATGTAATTCATATTGACATTGTTTGAATTTAATTTGTTCAGTCCTCCTGGCCGTATGATTAATTACGTTGTCGGTTTCAGCCACAGAGACCTGTTTGGGTCACGTTCCGGTATTCCGGATCAGTAAGAGTGACTGGCCTCCCACTGCAATCTAATCTCAGTGTCTGTTGCCATGACAGCAGGCTTGTAGTTAAGGGTGTAGTGATCCACTGCTTGGGATGCAGGGTACTGCAGACATGCTTGGAATTTTACAGACAATAAGAGAGAACTAAGTACTCAAATAAAAGACCTCAATCCCAGTAAACTTTCCTGCCTTTATATCTCAAACATCAAAAAGCCATCCATCATTATCTCTGTCATGACACGACACTGGGAACAATGAATGTATTGTTGATTAGCAGTTGCAAGATGGCTGGATGATTGTATGATTTTGTCGAGTGAATATGCCGATCAACCAGGTATATTCACTCGATAATAAGTGGAATGTTTGAATACATTTTTCATCCACTCAGCTGTGAGCAAATCTGGGGAAAAAAATGCATCACATGAGCATCTGTGACGAGTGTCGTCACGTGACGATACAGCTGTTAAGGAAAATGCTAGTTTTAAGCCTTAAGTATAATTTACTCCATCTATAAATCCATGAAAACAGAAAGGAAACACTTTATGCAAACTTATGTAACTTCTGTGAAGCAAATACAGACTCGGGATTAAATGTAGCAGCTCATTAGACATCTGATCTTTATTGGCTATGCTTACATACATGCATGTATGTACACATACATGTTCATGTTTACATAGGACCACTTTATCCGCATACTTTTAAATTCAATGCACGGGTCACATGATGTAATCTCGGAAGTATACCTGTCACAGAGGTCATGGCATCAAGCATTGTGACATCAGCGTGATGATCAGCCAATCCGATAATATCCATAAATAATTATCATAGCAAACTTTAGATATAGATTCTATATTCATTTATGCGCTTTTTACATGCAAGGTAATAGAATTTTATTTGGTAATAAAATAAAAATGGAGCCGTTTCCACCCATTCCCCTCCACCTGTCATCCTTCACTCTTTGCGATTGCTAAGCGTACCGGCCACTGAGTCGAAAAGCTACGGTCACGCTGCTTCAGGATTAATCGTAAATATAACTTATTATTCCATATAGTTCATTCATTCATTTCCATACCCGCTTGTCCCACGCAGGGTCGTGGGGGTCCAGAGCCTACCCTGGACAACATTCCCAATCCAATTCCCCGCCTTGCACCTGCTGTTTCCGGAATATTCCGTATAGCTGGTTCATCAAATATATTCTATCCTTTCCTGATATAGATGGATAATATGAAAAAATAACATGGGTGGTATCACTAATGGAAACGGACAAACAAAATGTGTGTATATAGCATATATATGTGTATATCACAAATATATAGACCAATATATAACATTGAAGAAGAGGAAGGAGAACGGGAAGAGGGCGCGGGCGTAGAGGTCGATGCGCTTGGCCGCGGAGGGAATGACGGGTTTTGGGGGCGCCGGCTTCTTGTTGTTCTTCGCTTGCGACTTGCCGAGAGCCCCTCCCACCTCGATGGGCTTGCCGTAGCAGTCAAAGTTCGACAGCTCGAAATCCCTGGGCAGCGAGCCCACGATGCTGAAGTCGTTGGTGCGCAGGTCCGACTTGGATGTGCACACCTTTTTGCACCTCGTCTCCGCCACCTGGAAAATGAGGCCTGCGTGATTTACAGACCGAGCGAACTCGGGTCTAACATAATCCTCTCTCTGGCTATTCTGAACAGCGTTCACAAAGCCTCGCTTTAGCTATGAACTCCCAGAGTCACCCATTCAGTTACAAGCCCAACACGGTCATGCAGTCATGAGTTAGAAAACAGAATCATGCAACACTGATTTAAAAACAAACTACATTTTGCTCGCTTTCCACCAATATCTTGGTCTGCGTACATTTCTAAGAGACTTTTAGGAGACAGGAATAGCAGTTTTCAGGAATATTCCGCTTATATGCAAATGTAGCCTTATTAGGTTTTTAAAGGTAGTAATATTTATCCTCATATTTCTCAGTAGGGAACCCCAACACAAATCTCTGCTGTTAAGACCTCCAAAGAGTGCTGATCTCGCCACACGTTTTTAATGGATTATATTTGTGGTTTTTTCTTTCGCTTAGGCACGCCGGTTCACCGCAGGGGGACCGGGAGCTCGGGGGGGGGGACACACACGTGTGAGCAGGGTCCACGGTCGCCACGGCGCCAGCAAGCTAACACCACAGACGCTGGCGAACTTGCCCTAGCGAGAGACACAAAGAGCTAAATGTTCCCTTTCACTCCGGGTGCCTCGCGGTCATAAAGTCGGCCGGCGTGACCTATGGCTCCAGCGACGCCCCTTATTTCCTTGAGGAAATATCGTTTCCTATTTCACGAAAGCCTCTAATTTAAACGAGCGACTCCCAGATTCCTGCTACAGCGATCAAAGTAACGCACATCCTCCAACGTTAGCCCGACTGGCTAATTACCGCTAGCCTTCATCCGGTCCTGTCAAGGCTCCTTAAAGTCAGCTACTCTCCCGAAATTCTTTCCAAGTCCGGTATGTTTGGCTTTAGATGGTATCATAATATTGCTGTAATTTTACAACTGTTGAATTACAAAATGAAGTCGGCTGTTAGCACATGATTTATAATGTTTTAATATTTTGGATGTTGGCCTCAAACTTAACAAGCCTACAACCTAGAAAGGAACCAAAACAAAAATGGCAAAATATTGGGATAGTAAAATATCTTTGTTAAACAGTGTATTTCAGGATGTATACCTGGCACAATGACTTACATTTTGCTAATCAGCTCAAACTACAAATTTGTTGGGGCTTGTGTCTGGAGACTAACTCTTGTCCCGGTAAACAAACCCAGACTGGTGGCCAATCCACTTTGTGAATGCTACCCTCATGCTCATGCTGAAATGGCTGCTTTATGTTCTTTCCATCCGAGTATTTTTGCTAAATCCATCTCTGCTCTCAGTCCCAAACGCAGCCCCTATTCCTTCATCACAACCCCAAATCACATGGTTCTGTTCATCATCCCACCCTTATCTTCCTGTAAATATCCATACTAGCTTTGTTTTTTTAAAGACGACTTTTAAACAAAGTTAGTCCACATAAAACATATGTTGCTATCGGTTTCCCAGTCCAGGAAATTAAGCGCCTCTCCCAAAACGTTGCTCTGGCACGATAGAGGTTTCCCCTGCAGACTAATCCCCGTCCTACACGGCCAAGGTCGTCAGGAAGCACGCCTGGCCCTTCCCTCCTATCTGCAAGCAGAGGGCCATTCCCTTGTCGGGATTCCCTCATCCCCGCGGAGAGAGCGCCATACACTCGCCATGATGTCATAAACCCGGGGTTACCGTCTGTTACTGACTGGCGTGCGCACGGGCGCCGGTCACGGATCAGCGCACTGACGCGCTAAAGCGAGAAGGAGCCAGTTGGGACGCGCTGACAGAGCACACGCTACGCCTAAATCCATAATGAAGTGTCACGTCGGCTCAAACTGGCTTTAATGGCCAGGTTTTTACTCTTAGTCTAGATATCACACAAAGAGCCTAGCTGAAACAAATGCTGCATTACCTGCATTCAAAATTCCTTCTGCATGTTTCCACCCTTTATGGAGACCATTCTTCATACTTTAATGAATGCAGATTACACTCTCACAGTTATTAAGGGGGAAACTGGAATTTCAGATCATACGAGCAAGTAGTCAGTCATTCCCATATGAGATGCAGCATTTTAAGGAAACCATTAGAATCCCCATTAACCTCAACACCTTGCTGTCCTTCTTGTATGTTATATTTTATGTGTATGTATGTAAATTATATGTGTGTGTATACATATGAATGTATTTATGTTTGTATATATGTTCATATGTACGCATGTGTATGTATGTATGCGTGCTGACGTGGAGGGGCGTACTGACCGGGAGCGTGCTGACGTGGAGGGGCGTACTGACCGGGAGCGTGCTGACGTGGAGGGGCGTACTGACCGGGAGCGTGCTGACGTGGGGGGGCGTACTGACCGGGAGCGTGCTGACGTGGGGGGGCGTACTGACCGGGAGCGTGCT